GGTGCTCTCAGTGGTGTGGAGGCTCCCAGTTGACATCACAGCCCTGCAGAAACAGCCAAGCCCAGCAATTCCCTTGGCACTGAGCAGTACCTGGGACTGGCCTACTGTGTACACACAACGCAGGTGGGGTCTCTGCTGGACTCCTGTTCCCATTTTACCAGCCCAAGGCCCTGCTCACAGCCCCATCGATCAAGCAGCAGGCTGTGCTCAGAGCTGCACACGCACAGATGCATAAATCCATTGTGAGTCACACCAGTGGAGGAGGTGTCAGGGAAAAGGGAGATCCCAGGCTGCTGCAGAGCAGGGGGAGAGGGAAGCAGCATCTTCTCCCCACTGCGAGCTGATCTGGATATGCCTCTGCTCAATGCTTCAGGTGTCTGATTGGAAGGAGGAGTGCTCAGTTCCGCAGGGATGCAGCTTCACATTGCAGAGGCTGCCAGCCCTGCCTGCACAAGCAGCCACACAGCTTAACCACCCTTCCCACTGAGCCTTCCCCCCAGCCCATGAGGCTGCTTTCACATCCCATGAATGCCGGTCACTTCCAAATTAGCTGCAAACATCAGGATGCTCCTCTCTGAACTGCATTTGAAGTACTACAGCCAGGGTATTAAAAACCAGGAAAAATAAAAGGTAGTACTGAGGAAGCAGCTAGGAGGTCAAGGGAGGGGAAAGCATGACTAAGAGCAAATAGGGAAAGTACTAGATTTTTTTGCAGGGCATGGATGAGCAGGGAGTGGCAACTGCAGCGATTGTTCTTTGCTACGTGGTTGCATAGGGACAAACTGATTTCCCGAGGCTGTTTGGATAAAGCACAGTAAAATTGTCACCAAGGAGAGGAGTGCTGTGTGGAGGCACAGGACAAGTCCACCTCATGCTCTTGGCCTCCTAGGAGCCAACCTGTCCCTCCCTCTTTTTCTGGGCTGTGCCGTGTGTGCAGGCTCTAGGTGCAATCAGAACTGGTGCTGGGCTAGGCTGGCTGTTATCATCATAGCCTCAACATTTCTGGAGATAAAGAGGAAGACTTGAGTTTCCAGGATGGTCTGCTCACCAGCCATTGCTTGCAAATGACAATCTGAAGGAAGAAGATTTACATTCAGCAAGGAGACTAGACTGGAAAGATTCAGGTTCGTGCTGGCCCACTGGGCTAGCAGTGAGGTGTATGGATGACACCTGGAGGGCTACCCTTAATAATGACAATAATAATAATGCTTAAATCTTATCTCTCTGCCTTCTTCTGAGACATCCTGGTGGAGAAGGAAGGGCTCATCTGGCCTGTAAAGTGACTTTTTTGTGGTGACACAGCCTGACACCGGCTGGGAGAAACACTGTGTCCTATCCACGAGGCCATGTGTGGTGCTTCTGGTAGTGCCAGATGGTCATGGTGGTCCATCCACATGACTAATGTCTGGCAGGAGGCACCAGCCTGCACTGAAGAACCACGCCAATCAGCTTGTGAAGAACATCAGTTTTTACAGTGTTCTGAGCTCAGATAGGAGAGGGGACAAGCACATAGACCTTGATATTGGCAGGCACTATCAACATGCCAGCCTAGAAAGCAATGTAATGGAAATGCAGTCCTGGTCCTGGGAGACTGTCATCATAAATGGGACGGATACATGGAAGAGTGCTCTGCTTCATGTGCATGAGTGGAAATCAACTCAGAGAAAGAGATCAGTGATGGCACTGCATATTCCAGGTACTGCAGTGCCTGTCTCTGCTGGAAATGTGTGGTCAGGGTATGTTCTCCCAGAAATCATCTGCAGTGCTTTTTAGCAGGAATCCTTTCTGCAGTGAGGATCCAAACTGCTCCAAGACAAGTATGAGATGCATGAACTGCTCCTGCACTGAGATGCAAAAGAGATCTCTACTCAGCCTGTCCTCGAGGTAAAAAGGTAACTCCTCATGGTAATGACTGCCCTGTCCAGTGCCTCTGAGATCACAGCCAACACTCACACTTTCTCCAATGCACTTCCATGAGATGAAAGATGCAGGTATCAGCAGGCTCCAGTTCATGGCAAAGAGGACAGGATCAGCGAAAGAGCCCCATTCTTACCACTCTTCCTTTAAAATAAGGCAGTGATTAGTATTTCTAAAGCAAGCAGAAGATATGAGTCCAGGAGCAGCCCAGCTGTTCCCACTCAGGGTTATGACCAGTATCTGGAGAATTGTAAATATCATATGTAAACCTGTATCTTTTCTATCAGATGCACATCACGTTTCAGGGTTTCATTAACAGTACTGTTCATAACCTCACTCCACCTTTTGCCCTGGTGGCTTAAGAGGAGGCTTTGAAGTATTGACCACCTTTTTGCACTTCAGAGTCTCCACTGATGCCTATGTATCAAAACATTGGAAGGCTTACTAACATTACTCTTGAAAACTTCACATCTTGAATTTTTGACTGCTATGTCATATATACTCCTTTTTTATGGGTGTGGAATTAGAGTTACAGAGGTTTATTTCTGCTGTAGCACATTTTTTTACCTCAGCTGTCTTGAATATGGGTGTCTCCACAGCTTTAAGAACTCTAGTACTGGTGCAGAATAAAACAAGCCATATCTCCATCTGGTCTAAGTGGAAAGTGAAGCAGGTTTTAATGTAGATGCCAGTGGTAGATTTGGCTGTTACAGGTTTGAAAACATGCTTTAGAAGCCAAAAGGATTTGAAAAATTAGGTGCTAACTGCATTTTTATCCAAAGATCAAACCTAGACTAATCTAGCACAGATGTTAAGATTATGGACAATTATTTTGTCTTTTTCCTTAAGTGGAGTTCTATTTCCCTGATACTTAGGCTTTGCCAGCAGGTCCTAAAGGGTAGGTTGATATTTTCATTGTGAGGCACTAATAAAAGATTGAAACATTGCCTCTATATGGGTACTAAACAGGGTGCAACTTTATTTACAGTGTAAAGTGCATCACACAGAAGTTGTTTAAAACACACAACAAGCAGTGACATAAATGACAATACAGTACTGGGTAGGGAGGGAAAGGTGTTTCAGCAAGTATCAAAACATTGTCAACAGCACTATTATAACAGCCTATAGTTTCAGCTACTCTATCCTACCACCACATCTCCTTAGGAAATGTGTTGACTGGGTTCATCCCACGACTCTGTGTAGTAATCACTAGTGTGAGGCTGGAGTGTTAAAAGCCATTCCACAGCCCTAAAATCTTCAACCATATCCCCTGCTAGCTCTTAGCACTGTCCTCACCACTCCTGTTCTGCTTTGCAGATCACCAGGGCAGAGTCAGGGCACACACCAGAGAAACACACTGGAAAAGGGACCAAAACAGAGTCCATTAGAAAAAGAAGGTTGTGGGAGCTGAAACGACTTTTCAGCTGGTCGCAGCTTCCACTGGGAAGAAATCTACATTCACATTAATCTGATCCCCTAATGACTCCTATTATTTACCTATCTGTTTTTATTTTAATTGGCTGAAAGCTCTAATTGGCTCACAACTTTGTTTCTTTCTTCCCCATTTCTAGTCTTAGACTAATAGTCATCACTTATGTGTCAGTATTTACTAGTGTCCTGTTACTTCAACTGCAAGCTCATGTTGGTGTCAGATCACTTCCCTGTGTCCAAGTTCCTGCATCCATAAAAGGAAAGTAAATCTATAAAGGGGAAGGGGTAGGGCAGGGTGTGCACACTCTTAACCTGGAGGGTAACTAAGCAGGAAT